TAAACCCTAAACCCTAGACCGTACATGGGTTAAGATCCCCAAGTGATGCCTTAAATCGAAACCCTAAACCCTAGGCGGGTGTAGCGATAACATATGAACGAGGCCACGAAGACGTTCATCCGAAGCCCTAAACCCTATTAGGGGACTTAAAACCCCACTTANNNNAAACCCTAAACCCTATAGAACCCTTTCAAGGAACCCTTAAAGGAACTCCAGAAAACCCGCTTACAACTACCCATGAACCTCCAAGTAGGGTGGTGTGCGTTCCGGATTCCGGCTCGAGTTCCTTGAGACCGTTCGCCTTCGTGAGACTGTTGGCGAGCTGCGCTTCAGAGTGCACCCATCGGATGCACAGGTCGGTTCGACGAACCCTAAACCCTAAACCCTAAACCCTAAACCCTAAACCCTGAACCCTAAACCCTAAACCCTAAACCCTAAACCCTAAACCCGGCTTCTTTCAACCCCAGCAGTTCGATGCTGGTACGTTTTTCTGCTCCTTTCACAACGATCGTCTCGTTGATCATCTTGTCATAGACATTTCTGCTGTCCGTCACCAGGCAGCCGGGGACTTGGCTAACAACCATGTCTGGAAACCGTAGGTCCATAACCCCATGCAAGAGCTCTGACCATTGGTATCGAGCATAGTAGAGGCTGTCTTCGCCGTCTATGGCGGCGAGGGCCTCCGCAGCTCCGGGGCTCCGGCACATCCGTCCTACCTTTGACGAATGCCATGACATAAGCGAGATCTCGCAAACTTCACCTTGAAGGAGTCCTTGAGGTGCCATCCCGATGACGATCCCTTCCGTGCTGCCGCCGTCGACTCTGCTCTGCGAGGCCGCATCCACCCAAGCCACTGGTCCCAGGGGAACATCCTCTGGAAAGGCGTGGATGAGCATCTTGTGGTCACGTCTTGCCTTAGCATGAGACAGCAGGACGTTTGCACGAATGATTGTGTCCACGGTGCTTCGACCAACCTCAGAAAGAAGGAGACTAACATCTGCACTAAGATGCGGCGCCACTTGTTGCGCATGCCAACTCAAACCCCCGAGCAAGGCTCGTAGGTGTGTACGCTCTCTCTCCGATGTACTCGCTGTCCTGTCTTTCCGACGAGTCGAGTTGAGGGAAATCTCACTGATCCCTTCGAGGTAGTTGGGCTGGGAAAGTTCGAAACCCTGAGGAGTAGATTCGATAAGCACGCCACACTGTGTGAATTTATCTTCTTCCCAATCTCCCCATCGGAAATGATTCCTAATGCGCTTCAGAAGTTCCTGCCATCCCTGATGATCTTCTTGTCCGCCAAAAATGAAATCATCCACATGTCCCGAAATCAAACCCTTTAAGACACCATCCGGCCTGTAGCACCACATGCAACTGTCCGAACTAGATCTCTCGAGGCCTATACTTTGGAAGAAAGCATCCACAGTACGGTACCATTCAAGAGGAGCATCGACTAGTCCATAACATGCACGCTTGATGCGCGTGACGCTGTTTTCCGGCAAACCCATCGCCTCACAGATTTCTTTGGTCGGGATGCAGAAGAGGGTATCGGGATATTCTCGACCCTGCAGGAATGCACCGCTCACATCTCCTTTACGGATGCGCCACTTCTTCCAAGCAGCCATCTGTAATAACATCTGACGCGACTGACGCGTCATTACTGGAGCTGCAGTACTTCGGTGCTCGTAGCTAGGGTCCTGGCAGCCTAAAAGCACTGCTCTGGCTTTTGCCTTCCGCGTCCCGTCTTCACGCACCTTCCATGTAAGCACCCACCTCATGCCGACTGCTTGATCTTTCGATGGCTGCATGTGTTCCGGAATGGCCTGGAACGCATCGGCTGAGAGAAAGTTTTTCACCTCAATCTGTTTGGCGCTGCGGAATGCTTCCAGTTCTTCGGCCGTCAGCCGTCGCTCCGAGACTTCCACTGCCTTCCGCTTTAGCTGACCCACGAAGTAGCCCTCGAAGTTCTTCGCCATGTGGTCTATTCCCCGCCGGCTTTCCGGTAGAGCCACCTCGATTTCCACCGCCGCGTCGCCATGATCCCAGAAAGAACTTCCACGCTCTGGCCAGGCCTGCTCGGGGACCGTGTTCCACCAGCACTCACCTCGCTCAGTAGGCTCCGTATAGGAGGCTTCCAGTCGGGGTCTCTGCACTGAGCCACGGCCTGATGACCTCGCCGGCGGCATCGTCTGGTCACCACCATCGTCCACGTCGTCTCCTGGGGCGTCCCGGTGGATAGGTGGTCTTTTCTGGCGAGCTCGCAGTCGAGTCGGCTGCACTTCCTCCGTGGCGTCCTGGGCTCTGTTCCATTCCTCCACAGAAGGCTTGTCGGATGAGATGTCCTTGAATTGATTGCCTCCAATAGAGTCTGCCACCTGGTGAAAGGTCCACGGCGTGGGCCAGTCTGGGCCGCTAGACCTTCCAAAAGTTCTTCACGCTCCGTGGCTCGCCTCAATTGTTCCGGCGCGCATTTGATGAGAGCGCGTCCCCTCACGAGCCATACGGCTCCCCCAGGAGCTAATTCTCCCGAGGCTTCCTTGCGAGTCTCCGTTGCAAGAATGCGCGCTGGACCTAAAAACCGCCCTAGACGTGTGCCTGGTTGCCGTCGTCCTTGTCCCGACTCTTGACTTTTTCAGAAGAACACAAGTTCCCCCGGCACATAGTTGTAACACGGACGATGGCGAGAGTTCTTAGCCCTCCCCAGTCTCTGGCGTGCATTCCAATCCGCGTGAATCTTTTCCGCCTCTGCCCGTCGCTTAGTAGCTCTTTCGAACTCACCGACTGGGTTCTCGACAAGCAACCCGGGAGGAAGGCCTTGTCCAGCTTCCACGAAACGATCTGTTTCATCTGATCCCCGGCCCAAAACATGTTGGGCTTGACTGAAACCTCGAATCATATCTCTGTGATTGAAGACCGTGATAGCCTCGGCCAGCGCCGCTTCTGTCGAGAGGTCCGGATCGTACAGGCACAGTCGTGTCATGAGTTCTTTTACTCCTTGGATTGCTTGCTCACATGTGCCATTTTTCCAGTGCGCTTCACCTGGAATGATGTCCAAATACACACCGTGCTTGTCACAGTACTGGTCCAACAGGGCGAAACCGCGGAAGGCGCCTGCCGGATCAACCCGCAGGGCGCGAGGATGGCCAAAGTATTGGTGCCATCCCTCTTGCAAATACTGTATGCATAAGTTCGCAGACGGCTGTTGTTTCGGACCCTTGGTGAGGACTCGAGCAACACGATAGCGAGAGCCCTCGTCTATAACAAGCATGAACTGCACAGGTTCTTTCTTGTGAGGATGTTCCCAGTGTCCGATATCCGCGCTGATAGTGCAGAACTTTGGGGGCAACGGTTCCAATGTAGCTTGGGCTCTCGGAGGGGGCTTGCTTCGTTCCTTGCACACGGGACAAGAGAAATCTTTCGCGAGTTCGATGGTTCGTTCCGGGGCACGACGACGCTTCAGGGCATCAATCAGATGAGTCATACTACAGTGTCCCGAGGCACAATGCAAGAGATACAGCTGTTTCTTAATCCGTTCATCCGACCTGTGGGTGTTTCGAGGAGGTTGATCGGGATTGAGGGGTTCGTCCGATGAGCCGGCCACTGCGCAAGCCTGCTCAGATCCGGGCAAGACAACACTGCAGCTTCGCCTGTCCGGAACCCGAAAACCCAAGCTTTTCAGCTTTTTCCAGGTGTTCATTGAAATCCCACTCAAACCTCGAGAAACATAAGCCGTAATCACCCATCGTTGACCCTCCCAATCACAAGTAGCATGCCAGCATTTGGGAGAGAACATTATGGGCCTGTGTCGCAAATCCCACAATCGACCCTCGACAACGGCACCTCCAGGAACCTGCCTGGCCTCAACCTGGCCATCACCTTCTAAACCTTCAGTCCATAACTCCCCACCCGTGTAAGATCCCACTCCGACACTACCGTTGAGGAATTCGGGATGATTGTTGGGGTCCTTGTGGAGGGGCAGCTTCGCATTGGCGTTCACGGAGAAGGACGTCCATTGAAAGTCTTTAGGCATATGTTGGGACAGGAACTTGTTGATCAGTTGGACAAACTCGGTGTTATCACCCGTCCGGGACGTAAGACCATAGTGATTTCCGTAGGCATAGGTACCGTACGTATGGTAGGAACCGGCTTCGTCCTGGACTGCGGCTCGTTGGGATCTCTTGTCAGCTATTGGATGTTCTTGGAGATAGGCTTCGAGGTCCTTATAGGAAACCTGGGCTTGTTTACAGAGGTCTTTAGCGGCCTGCTCGGAGGGCTTCAAGGTGAGCCACTAGAGCTGCGTCTGGGAGCGTCTGCTTCAGAGGCCCTTGCTCTTCAAAGTACGGCACTGCGTCTCTGCCGAGCAAACAATTGCCACACAACAAGGAGTGTTTACTCAGAGAGAAGTCCCCACAAGCGCACACTTCACCGTTTCCGAAGTCTTCCGAAAGCTGACTCTTCCCTTGACATTCCTGAACAATCCCCTGGAAACCAAACTCTTCCTTCAACGCCTGAAACACAAGCCTAGCAAACTCCGGAGTATACTGACCTGATTCACGTGCCACTATTCCTTCACACTTAGCATGTTGATAGGAGGGGTGACACCTACAGGGCTTGTGAAGGACCTGGGCGAGTCTCGCATGGGACGTCACGATCCGCCATCCCTTTTGCACCAGTTGGTCTCCCTGGCCCTTTAAACCTACACTACATCCCTTCGTCACAGCAACGTGGAAGTGCATTTGATGTTGAATCTCCTGGAACACAGGTAGGCGCCACGCTTCACATCTTTCACTCATCTCGACCGTGCAATGAATCCCTAGTTGAGTGCAAACCCTCATGACTTCCCTGACAGCATGATAGATCTTAAGAGCCTCAGCACGCTTAGCTTCCAACTCTCTCTTCTGCTGTGGGGTTCGTTGGTTAGCGTTCTGTAAGGGTGAGTAGGGACCACACGGAGGGGACATCCACACATGCAAGGGATTCAGCGATCGGATTTGTTCCAGCACGAGCTGCAGTCCAACAGGTTTGGTCAAGTCAGCCCCATTCCAGATCGAGGACCTGATAGCACATGCTGGGTCTTGCAGTTTTTCCTGAAACGTTGGCTCAAGATACTATTCGGAGCACAAGCCACTTCGAGAAGCTGCGGCCTATCAGTTCCTAACAATTCGTGAAAGGTGCGGGGCAGAACTCCGCAGGACTTGTACTCTAAGGCTGAGGCCGCTGTCGAAGACATCGGACGCCAACCTCCCGGATCAGCATCTGGTGCGAGCATTGATTTTCGGTGCTATTTCCAAAACCAAAGGTTGGCTGATTGAAGCGGTCCACGTCACGGAGACGAGTCTCTCCGTGTCGGGCCACATTCCTCCGAAGGAGTGCTTCAATGGCCTCGACGCTTCCGATGGACTTCGTAGCTCCTCCATCCACTACTGCCATTCCGGCCTCGATCGCCTCGGCCGTTGTTGGGAGAGTGGCCATCGCACTCTCTGAGGCCGTGGTGGTCTCAACAAAACACACAAAAGGAGCCTGAGGCTTTGTGGAGGGATCTGGCTCAGTGACGCCTGCGGCGATGGGCTTCTCAGGACAATTGGCCACTCGGTGGCCCTTGCGGCCACAGCGCAAGCACTCGATGTTCTCATCCTTGTTGCCGGCGGCCGGTGTCGTAGATGACGGACGGGAGGGAGCCCCTCCACGGTAGTATTGCCGACTCAACTTGTTCGAGTGTTGCCGCATCCGAGCATCCTTCAAGGTCCTTCGGGCATGCTGAAAAGCTGCCCAAGCTTGCTGGGTATCGTTCTCCATCATCGCCATCATCGCGCCCTCTTCGCCGTCCATCTCCTCGGTGGTGCTGGCGTCAAACTCCCACTCGAAGTCCTCGCCGAAGGCCTGCTCCTCGTCCTCCGCGATGCCCATGAAGGCGTGCGAGCGGCGTCCTTGGTCGCGCCGCTTTAGGTCCGCCTCCGAGAACTGATTTCTCAATTCTTGGGCGACTCGAGCTGGAGTGAAGTCGCCGTTCAAGGCTGTTGTGACCAGGTTTCTCTCGCTGCTGTCCAGAGCCGCGTCGGTCAGAAGGTACCATCCTTGGATGAAACTTGGAAGGAGGTTCTCGTCCTCCGTGGTGTCGATGGACTCCCAAGCCGAGGATCCCCGAGTGGAGGCGCCACTCCAGGACCACGAGCCGGGGCGCCAGCTCGAGTATTGCTGGGGCCATCCATAATCCCACGAGGACCATCCCCACTGATTCCATCCATACTGCGACCCATGGAGAGTGGGATTGCTGTTCGAGTGCTCGGCCCGCGGCTCGTCATCGGCCGCTGGCTCACCGGAGAGGTCGTCGGCCACGTCGTCATCTCGATCATCAGGCCCGGTAGGTTGGCGACTCCATGGGACGGAGTCCCATCCGCTGCCGCCACTGTTCCGTCGTGACAATGGCCACCCGGCATCACCACTCTTCTTCGGCTTCTGGTAGAAGGGCTGCACACGTCGTAGAGCTTGGCTCACCCGAAGGAAAGCTTCACTCTTCCGTGTCACGTAGTCATTCATTGATTCTCCTGGTCGGCGGCGTGTTCCCTTGAAGTACTTCCCAAGGAGATCCGTTACCTCGTTCACACGAGGCTTTCCCAGCGATCGCCTCAGGTAGTCTAGCAGGATCTTCACACCACCCACAACTGCGATATCCTCAGCTGGCTTACCGGCCACGAGGCGCTTTGCGGCGCCTGTCAGCTCGGCCATGAGCCGAGGTCCCGCCGTGTATCGCTTGTTGTACACCATGCCTTGTTCCCACAAAAGAGAGGCTTCTTCGTAAGCCGCAAACGAGCTTGCTTCGCCGTTCCAGACGGGCACTCCGTCCTTGGAGCGGCCGGTAGCCACATCTTTCTCATTTTCCCCGCTCATGTTTCTTGACCAGCGACCCTGCTCGTCAAGCCACAAAGGTCTCGCCGACTACTCGTAGCCAAGCCAGACCACACGTTGTTCCCTGGATCTTCTTCAGGAACCCTCCTCAGAGGGCTCCGCTACCATGCAAGCGGGTAGCGTAGAGGTAGCACCGTTAAGCTCGGGCTCGAAGGTTCACGACAGAAGGGCCCGCTATGGCTCAGTAGGATGAAAGGCTCTAAGGGCTCTACTGCACTGAGCTGGCGCAGGCGCGCCTCGTTTTGATCCTCCAAGCTGCGCAGTCGTAGATCCAGGTCCTGAGAGCGAAGACTGGAGTGGAAACTCGCAAACCCTAAACCGCTAAGCTTTAGGAAGGCTTAGGCTTCGTGGCTTTTCGAGCTTCAGCCTGGGGTTTCGCAAGGGCCTTCGAAAGACCTTGCTACTTCGACATAATATAGGGTTGAGGGTTTAGGGTTTAGGGTTTAGGGTTTAGGGTTTAGGGTTTAGGGTTTAGGGTTTAGGGTATAATTATCGATACTATTTTGGGGGTTCCTTATGATAATTACAGCATGATACAACCCAAAGCCCCATTCTAATTATTAAGGACCCTACATTGCTATACACTGATTCAAGTTGGTTTGAGGCGCAGGGTGCTTCTCCTCCACACCAGTGCCCAATCCGAGCAAAGCATCAAGTTTTTGGGTACATGCCCTACCTGTCACTATACGCCCGAAACCCCGGAACCAAATCCAAGTAACACAGGAAGAGGGCTCTTAAGCCGTAGATCCTGAAACCCTTCAACCCACTCCAAGCCTCAACCCTCAACCCTCAACCCTAAACCCTAAACCCTAAACCCTGGATGCAGCACCACTACACAAAGGATCCGGCGAAGGCCCAGCATGGTGGTAAGCTCCGTGTCCTGGCGGTTTTTTATGACTCTATAG